AGGGCTCATAAGACTTTCAACTTGTAGCTGACTTTGCCAGTGAGGTACAGCTGTAATTTTAAAGTAACTCACAATAAATTGATGCATTCTCTGGATGTATTGAGATGATCCCGGATATCAACATACACAGATGGAGCTTCTGTGGAACTAAAGTGTCAGACTACTGTTTTGTCATGCCATAGTTGGTACAGAGACTTGGGAAAGAGCTTGGACACATTTCATTGCTACAAGAGTGGTCAAATTTAATATTTTTATCAGCTAACTGCCCTCTGCTGTCTGTGCCCTGTCGTGGCGAGAAAGTTTGCATACTCTAATGATCCTGAGTCTGGGTTGCCGAGGACTTTTTTTCTCCAGCAGGTTCAACCATGCTGGACTGGTCTGTAGGGGAGGGGCCAGACAAAAGACACTCTGGCTCTCCATGTTGGGGGGGGCTAGGCACAGAGCTAACAACCCTGTCCCATAAAAAACAAAATATGTTACAGAAACTGCGGCAGAGAAATCAACCATTAATATGTGTGATGGCCTTCAGGAATCAATGACCCATATGACTGCCAGTGATGAAAGCCAAAAGGAAGCCACTGGCATGAAGACTGAAGTACTCAACACCAAGACAAAAACCAAACTTGTTTTTGGAACGTAGGGACAATGTACGAAACCGGGAAGCCAGCTCGAGTCACAGCAGAGATGAAACGCTACAACTTACGCATCCTGGGTGTCAGCGAGAACAGATGGATGGGATCAGGAAGATTAACAGCCTTGGGAGAAACTTTGCTGTATTCTGGCCGGGATGATGGACAACTTCCTGAGGTTGTTGCCATCTTTTTGGAGAGGTAGTGGAGCAGTCCCTGCTTGAGTGGAAGTCAATCAGCAGCAGACGTATGAGAGCCAGACTGAAAGGGAAACACAATAATATCACCCTGATTCAGTGCTATGCTCCAACAAATGACAGTGATGAAGAAGCAAAGGACAAATTCTACCTTGCACTACAGGCGTAGTTAAGAGTACCACACCACAACCTAACTATCATCATGGGAGACCTGAATGCCAAGGTCAGTAGGGACAACACAAACAACGACAGAGCAATGAGAAGACATGAGTGTGGCACCATGAATGAAAATGGAGAGGCTGATGTTGATTTCTGCAGTATGAACGATCTAGTCATCAGCAGAACCCATTTCAACATTTTGAAATTCACAAGCTGACATAAGCGACAAAGAGTCCTGTGGCACCTTATAAACCAGGGGTCGGCAACCTTTCAGAAGTGGTGTGACAAGTCTTCATTTATTCACTCTAATTTAAGGTTTTGCATGCCAGTAATACATTTGAATATTTTTAGAAGGTCTCTTTCTATAAGTCTATAATATATATATTGTTGAATGTAAAGTAAATAAGGTTTTTAAAATGTTTAAGAAGCTTCATTTAAAATGTAGAGCCCCCCAGACCGGTGGCCAGGATCCAGGCAGTGTGAGTGCCAGTGAAAATCAGCTTGTGTGCCGAAGGCGGCACGCTCGTCATAGTCTATAACAGGGGTAGGAAACCTAACAGAAGTATTGGAGCATAAGCTTTCGTGGGTGAATACTGACTTCAACAAAGTGGGTATTCATCCACAAAAGCTTATGCTCCAATACTTCTGTTAGTCTATAAGGTGCACAAGACTCCTTGTTGCTTTTTATAGATCCAGACTAACACAGCTACCCCTCTGATACAAGCTGACATGGGGTTCTCCAAATGGCAGAAATAAGAACCAGATTGACCATACGATGATCAATGGCAAATGACGACACTAACTGACAGATGTGAAGGTGAGAAGGGGAGCAGATATTGGCGACGACCACCACCTTGTGACAGCCTCCATCAAACTAAAACTGAGAAGCGTGGGTCCGCCAAACAAGGGACATAGACATTATGATGTTGACTAGCTAAAATCCCCTGAAATACAGAAACCCTTCATTCTGCAGTTAAAGAACAGGTTTCAGGCACTTGCAGACCTTGATGAAGAGGAGGGGAATGCAAATGAGATCAACAAGAAGTGGGATAAAGTAACAATCTATAAACAGAACAGTGAAGTCTGTCTAGGCTACAGGCAGAAGAGAAGAAAGGAGTGGTTTACACCCAACACATGGAATACCATAGAGCCCTGAAGAAAAAAGTTTTAGACACAAAATCCCAGAAGCTAAAGGACAAATACCACGAATAGTAGAGCAAGGCACACCAGGAGGTCAAACACCTTGTGAGAGCAGACAAATGACGTTATATTGATAATCTAGGCAACACAAGCAGAGGAACAAGGAACCGTCTACCAAATGACATGGCTTATCAGTGGCAAATGGGAGACACCAACAAACATTCTCATCAGGGACAAACAAGGCCACTTATGGACAACTGAAAAACAACAAGAAATGTGCTGGACAGAGCATTTCAAAGAATTGCTGAACTGGGAGCCACCTATAGAGGAAGCAAACATTCAGGAGGCAGAAGAAGATCTTGATATCAACACAGATACCCCAACTAAGAAAGAGATCATTCAATCCATCAAATTCTTTAAAAATGGGAATGCTCCTGGCAAGGATAACTTAAATGCAGAATTGTTCAAAGTAAATCCTGAGTTAGCAGCATCTATCCTGGCCTCTCTATTTACATCTGTCTGGGAAAGGGAAAAAGTGCCAGATGAGTGGACCAATGGGGTTATAGTGAAGATATCAAAGAAAAGAACCCAATGATTGTAATAACGGGCGTGGTATCTCACTTTTATCTGTGCCAAACAAAGGTATTGTGTAAGATCATAGTCCAGCATATATCAGAGGCAGTTGATAGCATTCTTAGAAAAGAGCAAACCGGTTTTTGAAAAGGGCCTGGATGCACAGACCAGATTTTCACTCTACGAAACATAATAGAACAATGCTTAGAATGGCTACGGCAACTCTACATAAACTTCATAGACCTTGAGAAGGCTTTTGATAGCATTCACAGGACCAGCCTATGGTGCATTCTGCGGGCATATGGAATCCCTCTCTGTATAATCAACGTCATCAAAAGCTTCTTTTCCAACTTTACATGTTGTGTTGATCACAGTGAGCTCGGTTTTTGAAGTCATAATAGGAGTACAGCAGGGGTGTATCATGTCTGCAATCCTCTTCAGTATTGCCATTGACTGGGTAATGCAGCATACAACAAAAGACATGTCAAGAGGTATTAAATGGACACCATTCTCATCCCTTGAAGGCCTGGAGTTCGCAGATGATCTCGCTCTCCTATCACATACTCAGCACCTTATACAAGAAAAAACAACTCGACTCAACACATTCAGCCAGCAAATTGGACTGAAAATCAACCGCAGTAAGACAGATATCATGACCTTTAATATTGGCTCACCGTCAACAGTAAGATAGAGGATCATGCTCTCACCAACGTAGAAACATTCACATGCTTGGGCAGTACTATCAGCCAGAACAGTGGAACAAGCCAGGACATCCGGAACAGAATCAGTAAAGCCAGGAACACCTTTAGGAGCTCAAATACAGTCTCTGGAAATCTTCAAAATACAACACCAAAACCAAACTCCAGATTTATCTGAGCTGTGTACTTTCAATACTACTTTATAGTGCAGAATGCTGGGGAATGAGAAAGTATGACATGTCCAAACTGTATTTATTCCATACAACCTGCCTCAGAAAAATCCTCAAGACGACTGGTGCCCCCCCAGTATTGGGGGAGGGCAACACCAGCTAAAGGGGAGGACATGTGATCTCCCCACGTGTCTTCACCCCAGCCTAGGGCCCCTGTGCTCTCCCCACCCTCACCCCGCCCCACATTACCTGATGTGGGGATTTCTGTCCTGCTGTGCCAGCTCTTTATGGCTGCCAGAGCTGGGCAGGGAGTGGGACAGAGCCACTCTTGGCTACTGCCTGGTGCAGTGCGGCTGCTGCCTGGGAGAGTGCCTGGCTGTGGCAGCAGCAGGCTGCCTCCTGCCCAGGCTTAACTTCCAGAATAGCAGCTGAGCAAGTCAGAGCCCCCTCCATACCCAGCATGCTCAGTCGGCTCCTGTCCCCAGAAGCTGAGCCAGAGCAGGGAGGGGTGGCAGCAGCAGCCCGCTCCATGCCCAGGCTCAGCTCCTAGGGGTAGGAGCCGACTTTGAGCATGCCAGAAGCTGAGCCTGGGTGGGGGGCAGCCTGCTGCTGCCACAGCCAGGTGCTCTCCCCATCAGCCGAGACACGGCGCTGTACCGGGTAGCATCCCAGGCAATGTGGCTAAAAGAGGCCCTGGCCCCGCCCCTTCACTTTCTGACCCTGGCCCCGCCCCTTCACTTCCGGCTCTGGCCCCACCCCTTCCTCTCCCCGCTCGGATCGGCTGCTGGGAAAGCACTTGACCCTTCATGATCCTCCCATGCGTCACCTCCCTACAATCTCAGACCCAAGACCTATTCATACAGTGCAGCCAAGAAGATATGAGCACCATCATTACCAGGAGGTGCTGGAGATGGATTGGCCATGTGCTTCAGATGGAAACTGATTCCATCACCAGAATAGCATTAAGGTGGACACCTGAAGGCAAGCGAAAACGAGGCCACCCAAAAACAACATGGTGAAGATTGGGGCACCGCTGGGGAACCATTGGAAGACTTGCCAGAAACAGTCAGGAGTGGAGGAGCTTCGTCGCTGCCCTAAACACCAGAGGTGTAATGAGAACGTGATGATGATGATAAACTAAATCATCTCAAAATGTTTTATCCATTAAATCTCTTAAGATGCTGCTTTTAAAAAGTTCATGAGCTAGACCTGTGGGAACATGATTCAGTGACTGATCTACAGTTATCTGTTTCTTATACTATAATAGGTTACACTAAAAATAGATTTACTCTTTTCAAGAAAACATTCTTTTAAAACATTACCTGATCTGGTAACTTGACATATTTCTTAAAGTAGACATTAATGTTTTTATATAGCAGTGCAATGTGCCTGAGAAAAATGGACTTGAACAGCCATATATTTTCTTTTTTACAGCTCCTGGTTAGATAATAGTGAAAAAAGTGCAATAAAGAAGCTGAGAAAGAGCTTACCACTTAGGGAAGAACTAAACCGTTTAAAAGATGAACTCACTCATCAGCTACAGCTCTCTGATATCAGGTAATGAAGTACAGAAGGGTCAAAACAAACATAATTTACAATTTTGTAAGGCCACATAGACTAAAAACAAAGTAATGCAGTTAAGCTTTAAAAAATGTATTCCAGCAAAATGTCTATTTTATATGTAGTCATAAAGGCAGTATTCCACTGAATATGATTATATTTTCATCAGACTTGTATGGGACTAAAAATTTGCATTTATAATACCTGAACTAGACCTAGTCTTATTTATAAGTCAGGAGATTGTACTACCTAGTAGTATGGTTGCCAGTTCAGGAAAACACTTAAGCATGTGCTTCGGTTCTATTGTAGTCAATAGGACCTAATCATGTGTTTAAGTACTTTACTGGATAAAATTGCTTTCCTGAATTGGAGCTTGAGCTTGCTTATGTAACTAACTTAGCTTCTCTTTTGATGCTGCATATGGTACTTATTGACGACCTGTGAAGACTTAGTAAAGGTATTGTTGTCCAAAATATCAGAAACAAGAGTCTATGGAGGGAATATTGTAATAGCTTTAAAAAGCAGATTCTGTACTTGGGTTTCTTTATTCCAAAATATTTCTTAGAAACTACAAGTCATTAATATTTGAGAACAAAAATGTATCTCTTCAGGGTATGTTGTGAAAGCTTTGGGTTAAATAACTTTTAGGTTTGTTTGGTGCAGTAACATGGAGTTTAAAGCCAGAAGTGCCCACCAGATCATCTAATCTGACCTTCTATATATCACAAGCCACACCACCCAAAAGCCACACAGTAAACCCAACAACTGAAATTAAACTCAAGTATTTCAGCCCATAGAAGACGAGACTATTATGTGCCAAAGGCAGAAAATAGGTGCACCTTGGTCCCTCCTATGACAGTGAAATGAATGAGAAATACCCAGATAATCCTTGCAAATGACTCTCGCCCACACACTGCAGGGGTGGGTGAAAAACCCCCAAGATCCTTCCCAACCCCACATATGATGATCAGTTAGACCCTAAGCATAGGAGCAAGAACCAGCCAGCCAGGCATTTGAGAGAGAGAATGCTTGGTGCCACCTCAGAGTCCTGGTCCTCCCTGTCAAATGTCCCTCTCCAGCCATGGCTGTCCCTGATGCTTCACAGGAGTGATATTAAGGAAACCCAGAATCCACTGGGGGGAAGCAGGGCATTGGGGAAATATTCCTTCCTGACCCCTGCAAGTGGCTGGCTAAAAACCTGAAGCATGAGCTTTTAGGAACATCAGACAAAATGGATTGAGCCCCAGGGCTGCTGCCCCTTACTGTCACAAGCAACCCCATCGTACAATCTCACTCATACATTTCTACAGCTCCCTCTTGAAACTAACTAAGTTGTTTGCCTCCACAACTCCCAATAGGAGGCTTTTCCAGAACTTCGCCCATCTCATGGTTAGGAACTTTCTTCTAATTTCCAGCTTGAATTTGTTCATGGCCAGTTTATATCAATTTGTTGTTGTGCCAACACTGCTCTTTAGCTCTTCACCCTGCCTTGATATATTTATAGAGAGCGGCCTTCTTTTTGTTAGCGTTAACAAGTCAAGCTCTTCCAGTCTCCTCTCATAAAATTAGGCCCTCTATTCCCCTGATCACCCTATTAACTCTTCTCTGCACTTTTCTGGTTTGAATTCATCTTTCTTGAATGTGGGTGACCAAAATTGTACGCAATATTCCATATAAGGTCTTATTAATGCCATGTACAAGGCACTTATATGTCTCTATCTCTACTGGAAATGCCTTGCCTGATACATTTTTGGATCTCATTTACCTTTTTCACAGCCACATCGTACTGGTGGCTCATAGTTATCCTGTGATCCAACCCACACACCCAGGTCTCTCTTCTTCTCTATTGCTTCCAACTGATGAGCTGCTAGCTTGTAGCAAAAATTCTTATTAGACCCTAAGTTCCTGACTTTCACTTTGTATTACTGAATTTCATCCCATTTCTGTCACTCCAGTCTTCAAGGTCATCCAGATCTTCCTGTATTATGTTCCAGTCTTCCTCTATATTGACGATGCCTCCCAACTTAGTATCATCAGCAGATTTCATTAGTGCGCGCACACTTTTTGTGCCACTCATTAATAAAAATATTGAAAAAGACTGTTTCCAAGACCAATCCTTAAGGAACTCCATTAGTAACCTCCCTCCAGTCCAATAGTTCACCTTTCCGCACAACCCATGGCCTTCTCCAATTTTAGCCAGTTCCTTATCCATCTTGTACTGATCCCCATCTTCCCTAATTTAACTAATTTCTCATGTGGTACCATATCAAATGCTTTACTGAAGTCAGGTATGTAAGATCTATTCCATTTCTCTTATCTAAAATAATTTATTTTCTGAAAGACGATCAGGTTAGTCTGATGTGATCTACTTTTGGTAAATCCATGTTGCATTACATCCCTTTAGCATTTTTTCTCCCATGAGCTTGCTCTTTCCTTCACAATTTTTTCTAAAGCGGTACATGCTAGTTACAGACCTGTTGTTCTGACTGCCTGGATCACTTTTTTTACCTTTCTTAAATATAGGTCTGACATTAGCTATTCTCCAGTCATATGGGATTAGCCCCGACTTTATTAAAAATGCTTGCTACTGGACTAGCAAATTTCATGTGCCAGTTCTTTCATATTTTGGAATCGAAATTATCTGGGCCCCTGATCTGAGCATGTTAAGATCTGTTTTTCTTCCACCTCAGATGTGGTAATTTCCATTTCTACACACTCTCTTTCATCAACTATAGTGCCTTCATGCACATGTTCCATATTATCATCCTTATTGAAACCCTGCAATGAATTCATTTAGTTTGAGCCATATCTAGATTATCTTTAATTTCCTTCCCATCCTCACTGCATAGCAGCCAGACTCCACCCTTCCTTATTCTATTTTTATGTAAACTAAAAAGATTATTTTAATTCCCTTTGCAAGAGTTAATTCATCTTGATTTTTAACAATTCTAACTATTCTTACATTTTTCTAACCTCCAGATGTAGCTTTCTTTATTGATCAACCCTTTTTTCCATTCCTTATAAACTCTCAGCTTACTCCTAATAATCTTTTTGAGGTTGCTATTCAGCAATATTCTTTTTGAGGCTGCTATGGAGCCTTTCCCTACAAGCTTTTTTTCTTTGCTTGGGATGCAAATTTCAGATAACTTTTGTATAGTTGTGTCATAGGGCGAGTCCAGCCTCAGTGACTGATCACCACAACTCCAAGTCGTGTTAAACACCACTGTGCTTTATATTCCTTCAAAGGTCACAGCCTGGAGTGTTATTTACATACTGCTTACAGTCAGTAGCCAGCTTCCTCACTTGCTCTGGGGAAACGGTGGAGTATTAACAGCAGCCAGTCCTGTCTACTCCTGCCTTCCTTCAGGCTCCCGACTCTCTTCCCTAGCACATCCTTCCTATCTACTTATATAGTCCCAGCTGCAGGGGTTTCTTCCGCCCAGTTAGCCCCTGAGCTGTATCTTTACTCAGTTAATTGGCATGCTCTGCCAACTACCTGTCTTTCAGTCAGGTCCCAATTAATGTATACTGGTGAGGATTTGAGTGACAGGGTGCTGAGTCAACTCATGACTCATAATGCCCTGTTAGAAGTTGATTTTGAAGAAATTCCAAGCCTCCTCCGCATTTAAGTCCTTGAGCTTTTCAGTTGACTTCTTTAACTACTTCCCTTAATTTCCCAAAGTCTGCACTTTTGAAATAAAAGGTCATAGTTGACAAGCTGATTTTGATTATCCTTCCATTTAATTTAAACTTAATCAGCTCATGATTGCTCAATCCAAGGTTATTTCCTAAGACTAGCTCTTCTATGAAGTCCTCACTGCATAGTAAAACCAAATCAAAACAAATTGATAGAATCTTTCTGAACATTGAATGAAATTTGCTTGTCTGTGGTTTTTAATTTTTCTTTCATAGTCTGTTATCAAAATACTGTAATACTATATTGTTCCATTTTATGGAAAGTTAACAATATTTTAATGAAAAAATGTACAAGAAAATGCTTCCTGTTCAGAAATTTTTCTAACTGAGAAGTAATTGTATCTTAATGGGAAACTGCTACTTCCACCTCTTACAGGTCAATGCTAATATGGTTGGAGGCTTTAAAAGTAAATAAAGGTCTAGATCCTCAGCCATTCCAAGCTTATGCTTGGGACATTTGAGCAGAGGATACAGGCTCTAAGCCACCATTTTTGTGTCCCCAATCCTGGAGCTATTGAGGCTCAAAGCAGCCTCAAAGTATAACATGGAGTAGCTTAGGCTGATCTGAGTTATGCCTGCTGTAGTTGTCCCATTAAGGCCCTTGCATGGTACCATCCCTCTGTGCCCCTGATGCTGAATTGCTACACTGGCTTTATGCTAACTAAGGATTCTCCTATTCTGTGGTAACAGTCAGTTTTATGTTTGAGGCAGTTTTAAGTTCACTGAAAAGGGACCTGGGAAAGCTGAAGATCTTGGCCCATAATTGTAAACTGTGTTAATGTAATGTTGAGGGTATAGTGACCAAGAAACCTCAGAGTTAAATCACTATATGAAACATTATCTTTAACTTGCCTGTTCTGTGTCAGTGTTGAGGGGATCTCAAAATGGTGAATTGTTTTTTTTTTTTTTAAATATACACATGCTGTAATACCTGAACAGAAGGTGAATTAAAGTTAATGTATTTTTGTGGTTTTAATATAGGCACATTTTGATAGCAGCAAAAGTTATCCTAATGTCTCTTAATTAAATATTGTAAATCATAAACATCTGTATGAATGAAGCTGTGAAAAGGGCAACAAAAATGATTAGGGGTATGGAACGGCTGCCGTATGAGGAGAGATTAATAAGACTGGGACTTTTCAGCTTGGAAAAAAGACAACTAAGGGGGGATATGAAATCTATATATGAAGTCTATAAAATCATGACTGGTGTGGAGAAAGTGAATAAGGAAGTGTTATTTACTCCTTCTCATAACGTAAGAACTAGGGGCCACCAAATGAAATTAAGAGGCAGCAGGTTTCAAACAAACAAAAGGAAGTATGTTTTTCACACAATGCACAGACAACCTATGGAACTCTTTGCCAGAGGATGTTGTGAAGGCCAAGACTATAATAGGTTTCAAAAAAGAACTAGATAAGTTCATGGAGGATAGGTCCATCAATGGCTATTAGCCAGGATAATCAGGGATGGTATCCCTAGCCTCTGTTTGCCAGAAGCTGGGAATGGGCTACAGGGGATGGATCACTTGATGATTACCTGTTCTGTTCATTCCCTCTGGGGCACCTGGCATTGCCCACTGTCAGAAGACAGGATATTGGGCTAGATGGACCTTTGGTCTGACCCAGTATGGCAGCTGTTATGTTCTTATGAATGGATAGCTTACTCTGGCTGGTCATTCAAAAAAAACTGACACTACTTTCTGCAAGATATGATACAGGAAATTTTTTAGAGATGTTTTTCCTCCTTACTTATAGTACATGCACATAAAACTTTCAATTCCAGTACAGTAGTTCCCCTAATAGCAAGCCAAATCAACCCATCCAATATATGATCTAAATACTGGTCTGAACTCTCCAGGATTCAAGGGAGAAAGGAATCTTTCCCCCTGCTTGGCTGTAGAGCACCTGTGTAACTGAGTAATTAAGGGCTAGTTACTAGTAAGTGCACCTACTTAACTTTATGCTGTGTGAATAACCTAAATGAAATCAATGGACATACTCACAGGTGCTGGGTTCCACCAGGCCCCAGGGTGCTCAATCCTTCGCTCTGGCCCTGCCTCCACCCCACCCCTTTCCCCAAATCCCCAGCCTGCCTCGTCCCACTCAGTTCTGCCCCCTCCTCTGAGCGCGACTTGTCCCTGCTCCTCCCCTCTCCTCTCCAGCGCCTCCTGCATGCCATGAAACAGCTGATTGCAGGGGGTGAGAGGTGCTGATTGGCGGAGCCGCCAGTGGACGGGAGGCGGGGGGAGGAGGAAGGGCAGGCACTGGCTAGCGGAGGGTGCTAAGCACCCACTAACTTTTTTCCAAGGGTGCTCTAGCCCTGGAGCACGCATGGAATTGGCGCCTATATACTCACTGCATAAAGTACATGTGTAAGTCTTTTTAGGAACAGGGCTGAGGCTGCAATAGACTTCACAATCCTAACCTCTTCTGCGTATAGGAAAAAAATACAAAGAAAGTATCCCGAGAAACAAATAACTGCTTTTTGCATATCCAACTTATAGTTTTTAGCTTTTTTCAGTTTGTTTTTCCCCATTTCACCTGCACCATCTTCAATATGGCACCCACTGCAAAAGAAATTCTACATTTTCCATTTAAATTACTTTAATTATTGGTTTATATATAAAATTTGAGTAGTGTATGACTCAGACCCCTTTATACACATTCCCAGTTGGATTATTTTCTATTTATTACTCTTCAGTGACTGTGATTTTTGTTGCTATGAATTACTGCTTTATTGTAAAGCTCTTAGCACACTTTGGGCACTGCCTTACATTTAAAAAAAAATCCTTTTACAAGACTGAGTGATATATTCTCAAGTATATTTTTCTTTAGGTGGCAAAGAAGCTGGGGTATTGCCCATCGTTGTAGCCAGCTACACAGTCTAGGTCGTTTAGCTCAGCAGAGCCCAGAAGTATTAAGGAATGTTAAAGGTATATTTCCTATTACTTTTCTCTTTTGTGTGTCATGGTACAGTAATCCTCTAAAGATAAGCATGAATTTTATGGTATTCCTCATGAAAGCATAGAACAATCTGCCTGAGTTACTTAAGAAATTATCAGTGATACATAGTTTAAAATTCAAGTTATTTTATTTCATAGTTATTTAAAATATTGAATATTGTCCAGTAACTGACTACAACATCAGGATTTAAAAGCACTTGCTTATTTCAGCTTGAAGTCTTCATATAGACTCATTTAAAGACTGTACTTTCAGATATTCAGAAACTCACAATTTACGGTATTCATAATATCAATCTTACAGTAAATAAACATATCTGTTTATATATGTTTAATAAGTGAAAAATAGTCACATACAACATATCAAAGTGATTACATAATATAATTATAAATATGATTCTTCCTTTTCTTGTTACTGTCACATTATATAGTTGACATTCATTCATATTAGCCATTTTAAATGCAAATGCTTAATGAATACCTCAAAAGAGGTTTGAGTATTTGAATACCTGAAAGTACACGCCTCGTAAATAAGCAGCCATAGATGCTGGCTGTGTGTGTGTGTGTGTGTGTGTGTGTGTGTGTGTGTGTGTGTGTTGTTTAGTTTTTTGTTTTT